CTTTAAATGGAAAATGCACAACAGTCATAAATATAATTCATATCATATGTACGTGTCTAAAATTGGGAAAAGTCAGCTATTGCAAGTTCAAATTGATTCTGTCATCTAGAATCTAATTCATAATCTAATCGTTGTGTCTCCTTAAGGCTATTTCTGGAGTGGAAATTATAGTGGATGAAAAGAGAGAGAGTATTTTAATGCAATTTCATGACATAGATAACTATCATTGTTCTTTAAGCGGGACATTTACAGCTTAACCATCATGTCTGTAAATCAGAGGGGGTGCTGGAAATTATGTAGGGAGTTAAAAATGGAATCCTCCCTCAGTCTCTGGTCAAGTCTTAAGGTGACTCTTTAGCCTCTTCAACCCAATTGCTTGCTTCTCCCTCACAAACAGTGAGTCATAAACCAACAATCTGTAAATATCCCTTATATATTGCTTTTGCACCTGTTCCTGTGTAGGAATACTAGCCATATTCCTTTTTGCGCAGCTATATTTTGGGAATTTCTGTATTTGTTTAAAGATTTCTGGACTTTCAACAAGAAAACTGTCAAGCTTCTGGGTATCCCAGTTATTTCAAAGATATATTTGCAAATGCATTGTACAATACATGTACCAAACCAAACACTTCCTAGCCTCAACCATCACACTGTGCATGTGCTCTGACTGTGTGCATTCCTTGCATGCACAACTGGAGAATGCAGAATGCCCTCTCATTCTTGGAGCTTCCTGGAAGCTTCAAATTTATTGTGCACATGCTCAGCAGTTCAATTGTTCACGAACTTTATGTGTAGCATGGCTGGAAAATGCTGGATTTGCCATCTGCCTGAGTAATACTGATGGGAAATTGTTTAGAATAATAAAAAAATTATGGGAGGAAGGTTCAAGAGGTTATCCAGACCACTCTGTTGTTCTCAGGTGGAGTAACTATTTTTAGCTAACTTGCTCTTAAGCATTCTCATAAAAATCCACAGATTCCACCAGCAATCTATGCCAGTGCTTCACTGCCACGTTAGACAGCTTTTCCCAGAAACTAATTTGAACTTTCCAGGTTATGTCTCATTCTCTCCAGTATAAAATGTAAGACAGAATAAATATCTCCTCATTAGCTCTGCCTGTGTTCAAAGCAGGCATCATATTCCACTTGGTCTTCCCTTCTTTAGATTTAACGTGGCCAGTTTGTGCCAGGTGTCTTCTGAAGTCTGGCATCTAGCTGTGTACATGGCATTCCTCTCTGCAGAGGTCTCTCCCATGCTTAGTAGAAAAGGTGCACTTCACATGCACTGCAAACACCACTCCCACTCACACAGATTGGTATGGGAAGTGCCTTTATGTCACTTTTGTAAGACCCCAGGATTGCAGCTGGCATGTTCAAACTGATAGCAACATTTTGATTCCTAATCCTTGCATCCAGCCTGTCGAAATTCCCTCCCAGCATGTTATCAACATGTAAATTTACTAATTATATTCTCTGCTTCATCAAGAAAATATTAAATAGTGCAAAATGAGGACAGAAGCACCATGCATGCACAATTCTATTTCCACAGATATCCATCCTCTCAGTTTTATTTTCCAGCTACTTCTGCATTCATTCTGCAGCAATTTCGCCTAAACTATGTTTCCTTAGGTTTTAAAGAATGTCACACGAGGGAGTGTCGAGACACTCGTAAAGTCAAACCACCTACTGCTTTTTCCCTGTCTGCAAGGCCAATTACCCTGTCTTAGAGGGAGATCAGATTGGTTTGACACAGTTTGTTCCTAACAATCCATGTTGTCCATTGCTACCTTGTTTTCTTGTGGGTGCTTACAAATTGTTTATTTTTTCAGTACTTTGCCACGGTTGAGGTTTAGTTGACTGGACTATAATTTTGCAGATCTTTCTCTTTAAAGATAGCTGCTGCATTTGCTCCTCCATCCTCATAGATAAGTACTAACATCTTTAAGACTGTTCCACATGGTGTGAAAGCATCCAACTCATCTAAATACAGTACTTATCTTCCCTTGCCTAGACTGAAATCTTTAGTTTTGCCAGAGATTCCCTCAGACAACAGACCCAGACCCCAAATGCCTGCTTGTTTCTGAAAGCTGCGGTCTGGATGTGATGTGGGTATAATGGATGGGCAGAGAGTCCATTTCTGCAGTGTTCAGAGGAGGCCAGCCCTCCTAGTGGGATGTTTCCCTAGGAGAAGATATTATACAAGTAGATATTCTGGGTTGAGAATTGTCTAAAGATAAAATCCAGTCCTTAGAGAAATTTTTTTAAGATATCCAGTGCTTGCATGAGTCTGAAATCTGAAAGCCTTTCAATCAGCTTCTCAACTATCATGCCCTTGATCAAGTGCCAGTTATATTTTTTTAATTGTGCTTGATCCAAACTCCAAAATCCTTGAGATAATAAAATGCTTTTGTTTACTGGTCCCTAAGGAAGTCAGAATAGGCTAAAACTGGCCAGATAAATAATTGTCATTATTGTTAAAGAGTAAATCAAAGTTTTTGCTTCATTTTCTGTTTCATCATTCCATGTGGAAGGTAGAAAAAGAAGTTGTAATTTTTTCCATTCTTAAACAGACTGTAAGAGGAACACTGTCATTAAAATAGTTCATTCATATTCCACGGAAACATGTCATCTTGAATGTGAACAGATACGTTGATCTACAGTGCTATACAATTTGTTTTCTACTTAGCATCAGTCATTTCTATGTCCTGGGAGCATAATACATATAATTTGACTGTTACTAATGAATGTAGCTCCTTTTCTAAAGTCATTTGTTCAGTTAGATATCAAAAAACTCATACTCCTTAGCATTTAAGAAATAGATTTGAATTGCTGACTTCAAGCAAGACCAAATAGGCCATTATCTTTTCCCCTTTTAGAAAATGCAGGTAATAGCTCCTGGTGAAAAGTGAAGCCTTTTAGGATATTTTTATGATCTTTTTTGATCACTACCAAGAATCAACATAAAATAAAGGTATAAGTAGCAGTCACCAGAGTACATCAGAACTGTATTACTGTATTCTTATGCTCTGAAAGGGCTTTACTGGACTACTAGAATCCAATTCAGAACTGTAAGGTCCATTGTGTACCTTCATTCTGTAGAGAGACTGCCCTTGGATTTTCTGGGAGTTTTATGTGAAAATCAGTACCAGAGAATGTTCCTAGTCTTCAGTCTCACATGAAAGCATATTATAGGTGTGGTGGTTTGAACCACCACAAAAATCTAAAAATCCAATTTCCAGGTTTCCCCCACCCCTTCCCACAATTTTACCTTAACACCGGAGAGAAACTTTCAGGCGAGACATCTCTGTAGGGGGAAAAGGGAAGGGAAGATATATGCATTTATTCTATACAAATTAAATACTGTACAAGCTAAAAGCAACTATATATATACAATATTACACACTTCTATCAGTCCCTCTAAGCCTCTCCCTTAATTCAGTCCAGGAAAAGCCTTTGGGCTGATAGCTAAGCAGTCTTTCTCTCATGGGAGTGTTCAGGGAAAAAAGGTTTTCTCTGATCCGCTCCCCCCACCAACCTCCAGCTGTTTACTGAAGTCTTTTCTTCCTTACAAAGTCCGAGAAAATAGTTTGAGTCTGTGCTCTCTTGGTTCCGTGCCAATCTCTGCTGTGTGATTCTCTCTCTCTCTCCCTCGCTTCTGTAGGTGCTGTAGCTCAGTTCAGCTTATCACGTGCACGCGTCCTGGAATTTTCATTCCTTCTCCAAGTCAGTTTTTGGCTGCCCCTGGTCAAACCTCTGCAGGGGCAACTCCCAAGCCCTTTGGCCCATTTCCAATTTCACTTGGAATTCTTCTAGCTCTACAAACGAGTCGCAGCCACTTCTCCAAGCTCTGAGCATGTTTGCCCATCTCTTGGCTCGGCTCCAGTACCAAGCATGCCTGCTAGGGGAGTAAATATTTGCAACTCCCCTAGCTGGCCTCCGAGTCTGCTCCAACTGCCTTTACAGTGGAGGGGAAGAACAGGCAAGGAAACTGCCCCAGCCCTAGTCGAACCAAGGCAGAGGAGGCCCAGGGGCCCCCTTGATTCGGGGGCCCCCCAGCCACCCCTCATGTCTCTAATCCTCTCTTACACACACAGCTGCCAACTCACACTTCCGGCAGTTGTGTATATCTGATTTTTCACAGGAGCAAACAAAACGAGCGGTGATTGATCCTCCAGGGGAGACTGCCCTGGGACCCAATCACCTCACCTCTAGGCCCCCCGACTCCGGGGGGGCAATTTCAAACCAAGACAATAGGCAGAATGGATTAATGGTTCTTTCCTTTCCCCTAGTGAACAACCAAAGACTATAATCTTGTAAATTTGTAAAAAAAAATTCAGATTCATGTATCACAGTGTATCATTTGCATTTACCATACTCACTAGACTTTTTATGTGTGTCTTACTGCTTACAGTCCTGATGTGAGTGAGGATCAGAAGTTTCCCTGTGAGTTTTAGTCAAGGATAATTCATCCATTGCGAAATAAGTTTTCATCACTTTTATTTGTTTGATAGATCTGACGTCATAAAACAAATTATTACTTCCCGTAGGAAAGAGATTTTGCCCCGATTTATGTCCTTCTTCCCCATTCCCACTCTTCTTGGCCCTGGTCCTGCAGTATGAAAGGACGTCTCCGAAACAATGCTGATTTATATGAGAACCTATGTAGGGAATAAAAGTCTAACTTAATGAGTCAGAAAAAAGGTAAGCTCATACATTTAATAAGTCAGAATGCTGCTGTGGATGTCATATGTCTCATCACCAATTTCAAAAACAGTATTTAGCTTCTAGTTAGATTAAGTATCCAGTTAAACTGAGTAAAAATTGAAAGACAGCATTCAAAACAGCTCAGATTGCTCTGTAACAGTCACCCAAACAAAGCCCATGGTGTTCAGTGCTCCGATATGATTTGTTCCCCAGAAGTAGATGGGTGAGATGGTGCACTGAAGGTTTTCTATTACTGGTTCACTTTCTAAATACCTATTTTTACATTTTAACATATAGCTCCATCAGCCCTCCCAGACGCAAGTGGGACAAGCAGCCTCACAATCCAATCTCCTGCATTTGGCTCACAGTCAAGCATCTATGTCTCAAAGCCCAGTGCGTCAGGCTTCCTCTTCTTCCTCCTCATCCTCCTCTTCTTCAGCTTTGAGCGTTGGCCAGTTAGTCAGCAGTAAGTATTGCTCCTTGGCTCTCCTTAATTCTCCCCTCTGTTTGTCCTCCTCGATGCTGAGTTTCCTGATCTGCTTTCCCTCCTTTTGTTTTTTTAAATATAGTAGATTGTATATTGCTAAGTAGAGTGACTCTCGCCAGTAAGAACTACTAAGTGCTGTCATGGATGTGGCTGAAGGTAAACATGCCTTGAGAAATTGTAATCAATGCTGTAAATGGTCATAAAAATGGTAGCAGCCATTAATTGACTAATGAGGGCAATTCTTATAACTGAAATGTAGTTTATGTTTTTTTGAAATTAGAAGTTTTTGAATTAGTCGGTATAATGAATTACATTTCTCAGAATTTGGTGGGCAAACAGATTCTCCTACTTTCAGTTAAGCTGCTTGTTTTTTTGTTTAGTTGATATAGTGAACCATTTTACAAACCCTTGTATAAGACAAATCTAGAGTAAGAGACTTTTCTGGCCAGGAAAAGCTTGCACAATTTAAACAAGAACGAACTGGAACATGTGGGGGAGAAGAAAGAAGCATGCTGCAGTAAAACTGAGTTTTAGTGTTAGCTGACCTGAACAGCCCTTTCTTGCAGATCACACAGATCAGGGTCTTTGCTATTAGCTTATCAGCCCTAACTTTGGTCTTTACATAGCAATAACAATGGGCTGAGAGTATACATATTAACAGTTTTTGCACATCTGCAAAAATCAAGTGATTTGGATGACCTTGTTCAGTGATGTTTCATGTACATATTTCACGTAAACAAACACTATAGCTCATACCATATTGTTAATGTAAAATATATGATTGATACAAGCTTATGAAGGGCTTGGAGAAACTGTCATGCAAGAAAATACGTGAAAAAATGTTGGTTAGTTTATTTCAGAGATTGTTTATATGGGGAAGTAGCTAGTAGAGCTAGAGTGGTAAAATTATGCTGATATGACTCCCAGTGTGAATTCTTTTATTCTGTAATAAAAATATCTGCATATAGCTACAGTTATAATTATAGTGATATAAATATACTGTTGTTGATCTGTCAGTAAATTTTCTCATGTAGACATGCTTGTAAGATAAGAGGCTTCATGTTAAAAATACATAAAGTTTACCCCTTGTCTATGTGGGAAAATTGAGTAAAATAGCTGGTGTGGAATAAGTTATATTTCAATGGCTAGTCCAGAATAGCTCCTCTTGTGAACATTCTTATTTACAATAAAAGCAACATGGAAGAAGCTCCTTTAAATTTGCGGAATAAGCCCATCAAAATTTAGGAGATGCTAGAAAAATAATTATTTGTTCAATTGTATGCAATTCCTCTTAGAACATGTATTTTATTGCAACAAGATTTTATTGTGATTAAAATCATGCAATCATGATTTTTTTCCTCATCCTTCTTTCAGTGCATTCCCAATGGAATTGTCTTAGGGATGCATCAGAATTACTAATGCAACAGGGGGGCTGTTGTCCCAAGGTTTGTTCCTTACCTGATTCACTGAGCTGTTCCCCAGTTTGTATAACATTTGAGATAGGGAGCTGTAGAAGGGTGAAGGATGGTCTTGTCTCAGGCAATAGCAGCCTAAAGACCTGAAGCTTTCTGTCTGCTATGTAATTCTAGTGCAACAGCAGGCAAATCACTTAAAAGAGATTTTTCGCAAGTGCTCCCTCAATATCCATCTTGAGATTCTGGACTTTAATTTACAGAAGAACCTGGTACTCACAGTTACAATTTTAAGTGCCCTTTCACTGTAGAACTGTATCAAGAACCATTTAAAGACAATCTAAAACACCATTTCCTGCTTGACCTAGACTGGGTACCCAAAAATGCTTTTTCCCTTAATATCTGTCCACTTCTTTGTGAATGAGAAGGGGAAGACTCTCATCTTGTAGAAACACAATAAAATAAATTAAGATTTAAAAAAAAAACAGAAAGGCTCAAGAGGAGATGTCTTGAGTGAAGGACTTTAATAGGGGTCTGGGGCCACACACTGAACAAGTAAAAAGGCAATACATCAATCATTTCAACTGTAATGAAGGACAATTCATCCTGTGCACTGGACAGGGCACATGAAAATTAACTGGTAGTCCAGGGCTCAAAATCTATGCTACACTGTGCTGTGGGCTGTTGTAACTCCAGAATTTTGTAGCTTCTGAGTGTTTATTTCTGCAGCTCTAAGGATGTTCTTTTACCTTTATTTTTTCCTTGGATACATTTCAAGGTTGTTACAAAGGGAAAAAAATAACATAAATCAATCATATAGTGAGATAATGCTTATGTTTGTAGTTGGAAATAGGAGATCTTCTGTTGGATGGATGGAAAAGCTGATAATTCTGTTATCACCTTGTTTGTCCTGCTCTAAAAGGAATAAGATACATGCTGTGCTTATGCTTTTGGCTGAGAGCAGAGGAGTATGAGGCACAGGAATATCTATATATCAGGGGTTGGACTTGATGCTCTCGGATTTCTTTTCCAACCTGGTGGATTCTATGATTCTATGATTCTATTTGGGCATGAGTGGGAGATACACAAATGAACATAGAATTTTTATTTGATCCTCTCAGGCTTGACTCCATTCACTGCTTATCCTTTTCCAGTCCCATTACTTCCTCACACTGTTCTCCACACAGTCTATGCTCCCTTTGCCTCCATTTTCCTCTAGCCTTCTCCCTGCAGTTCTTTCACTATAGTCCATCATTGCCCAGCTCCTCTTCCCTTTTCACTTCCTCCCCTCCAGCTCTCATTCAGTCGCTGCCCCCAGACCATACCTGTGCCCTGTTACCAGTCTTTTTATTAGGTAGTTTCTGTCCTCCTCTATCTTATTTTATCACTAGTGCTACTTCTTTTTACCTATTTTCTTTTCTCTACCACAGTGATTACTACTCTCTGCACAGTCAGGCCCTCTCTCCCTCCAGTCCAGACTCAAATCCATGCTCCTTAGTAGTCTGGCTTTTTCCTTCCATCATTTTTTTTTCTTTTCTAGACTAAAGGTTAATTTTTGCCCCCTCTGCATCCAAATCATGCTGATGCCACTCCCACACTCCCTAGAAGCCATCAGAGGAGTATGGGAAATGATCACCAAGAAGAGCAACGAGTCAGTCTCTCTGTCTTTACTGTTGTCCTGTCACAAAGCAGGCTAGAGCCACAACCGTAAGAGACTTTTCATCCTATCAGATTGAGGAAGGTGTTGCATTTGGACATTAACTCACTAGAATTCAGAGTCTTAAGAGCATTCCAAAGGAAGATGTTATTGATTGGGATCTCCTGAAAAAAAAAACCATAATAGATAATTATACATAAATAAAAACTTCTAGAGTTGTTTTGAATTTATGCTTCCAGCTTCATCCAGTCTCTAGCCACTCAAGACCAACAGAAGGAGTAGCATGAGAGGCAGATCAACTCACTTCTGCCATTTACATAGCATTCTCACACAGACAGAAGTAAACCAGCCATCTCAAGGATCCATAATGTCTGTCCAGCATACCCTTGAAAGCATGTAGCCAAGCACAAACTGGAGCTAACACTGCCTGCCTAAACCTGCTTGAGCTGCCACAGTGATGGTGATGGTGTTCCAGGGCACAGTAGAGCTACCTACTGCTTTTTAGTAATGTGGAAAGAGCCTACAAGAAAGAGGAAAATATGATCAGTGCAGTAAGAAAAGATCAAACAACCTGTGTAATGGAACATGAAAAGTCAGACAGGATCCTTCATAGCTTTTTATTGTTGCTAATAAACCAGTGATACTTTTTGGACAAATAGTATTAAACGATCTTCATGAATTTGAAAATTGTTTCATGTGACTGAAAATCCATTTGCATACAAATGTGACTGCACATGGGGAAACAAATAGACAGAAAGTCATCCCTGTTTTGCTTCTTTGTAGAATCTGCTCAGCTTCTAGACACAGATCCCTAAAGGGCAGGAGCACCTCTTTGTCAAGGCTGTGGCCCATAATTAAACAAAGCCCTCTTAGCTTCATAGCTTCCACACCGGCTGCAGACCTTTGTATACCAGGCCTGCGATTTAAAAGTAGTGTCTAAAAGTCCATTTAAAGTCTTTTAGTGTGATGAGGTGGGCAATGGGTCAGTGGTTCTGAAAGAAGTTCATAGGCATGAGGGCAGCAAGGAACAACTTGCGGCCTCCTTTGATTGCTTCATCCCTCCTGAGGTAGGAATATTGTTACTTCCTTTTCCTCATCCCTTCCAAAACTGCAGTCCAGACCTCCAGCAGCAGTCCTAGAGTTGAGTACCTTGGCAGAGATTTTCCATATTCCAGAAATTGTTCCTAAATATAGCAAAGTTCATGTAAAGCCAGGCACATTCAGCCAGCTTGTTTGGTTAATCAAAGTGCATAGAGCAACTTAACTTCAGTAAATAAATATTTGGGGCAAGCTTTTGCACAGTGACTGTAAAGAAAGTAACTCTTTTACAAGAGGTTGCCTCATATCAGAGAAATTCTTAAAGTACAAGTATTAAGAGAAGGTATTAAGAACTGGTCTTTAATAACTTTATTTTCTCTATGATTTTGTATTTTTTCTTTAACATGTGTCTGAATTTTAAAAAGATTCATTTCCTTACTTTTTTTTTTTATATTTTCCTTTCTTTTTTAATTCCTGTCCTGTTTTTTCCCCTGGATTGTGGTCTTCTTTATAGCTTTTCCCTTTTATCTCATCATCACCCCTTCATCCCTAACCAGCAAAAAGTGCTAGTTATTCTAAAGGCAAAAAAAAATCGTTATTTCCAAATAAAGGATGTTTAAAAAGAAGTTCTGCCTAAGCAAGATGAACTTATTCAAGATTCATCTCTACTCTTCCTGTTTCTTCTGTATGATTTCTTCATATTGTCTCATCCTGTCTCTATTCTCTTTTGTCTTTTTTGTTGTCTCTTCTTTCAATTCTACATCATTATTCCTACCTTTTTTAATTTCATTTTCCTATGCATCCCTCTGCTCATTTCTTTAACTTTTCCACCATATGTTCTCTTTGTGGAAATCACTGGTTTCCCCTTGTTCTGAGGCTTGTGTTTCCATGAAGTTCCTTTCTTCCTTCCGAATTCATTTTACTGTCATCTGTTACTATAAAATTAAAATGCTTCCCATAAACAAATTATTATTCTTTTTTTCCCCTGAGCTCCAGTCCATTTTCCATTATCAATGTTTTGTCCTGCCTTTCTTATCCAATTTACTTTCCATTGGACCTCCCCTGCCAGCTATTTCTCCTCCTGTCTGACTGGGGAAATCATCCCCCTGTAATCCCTCCTGTGGCAGAACCCTGTACAACAGAAATTTGCTTTCTCCTTCAGGGTGCACTGATTTCTCTGAAGCAGTTCTTTCCCCTAACTATTAAAATCACAGCATATTTTCACTTGCCAACAAACTCGTGGGATTTTCAGAAGAATTCGAAATTGGGAGAAGTATTCCCTTCAGTAGAAAAAAAGGGATTTCAATGCAGGAGAGCCTGTGGATTTTATTTCTTCAACTCTCCTCACCTACCTTCACCATCCACCAGGACAACTGGTGAAATTTTGTCTGTCTTTCTTTTTTGTTATGAGATATGTACACATACCTCCTTAAATGGTCCCAGACAACTCTCTTACCTTTCTCCAGCACCCAATAGTTTCATAGACACAACAGCCATTGTTTCCTCATGCAATAATATAAACTTGGAGTCTTGAAATGCTGTTACTGTAGGTTCCAGCCACTCAATAGAACTGGTATTCTCTATTTTCCTGTTGGTACTGGGCTGCCTTCCCTGGAATATTCAATTAATTTAAGAAACAACTGTTTATTTACTTTCTTCAATAAGCCGCTTTTCCTAAAATATGAAGTGCACTATATGCACAACTATTCTGAGAGCTCAGAATGTGCTTAAACGAAGCCCATTATTTATTTGAATGTATTTATGTACATACATATATTAGTTCACAGAGTTCAAGACTACGTATTGATGGTATCTTAATAGCAATAGAGTAAAACAGACCTATGCTGTTATATGATAATGTCAATAGAATGGTCTTCATAGCACTATTTGTGTTTTATGGAAGTGATTACTTCATAAACCTGAGTGGCCACTGTCATAGCACTGACTACTTAAAAGCAAATGATATGCACCCTAGCTTTATACTGAAGGAGTAAATGGGTGTACAGGTGAGCTCAAGCACAGCAGTGAGAACAGGAAAGATGATTCTGAGTGTGAAGCATTGTCAAAACTAGGTTCAGCCTATGTGAATGCTTACCTGTGGTCCCTGGTTGCATACACAAGAATTTTAAAAATACTGTTGCTGTGTCTGCTTCTTACACTCCAGAAACGAATAGATACAGGCTGAATTTATATATCAGAAAACCCTTTACCCTCTGTCTATTATTGGACAAAAAGATTTTTTTGTAGGATGTTTTTCCATCATAAGGAAATTTTACACCAGGCTTATAAACCTCTGAAAATAAAAGCTTTGTTACTGTAATGCTGATGAGCCCTCAGCTATGTCATACTAGCAGGAGCCACTCTTATATAGGGTTTAGTAATGTAGTCTAGCTCTGTCCTTGCACAACTGCTTGCATTTACAGAAATCGAGGGGTTATTGTGCTGCAAACTTTTCACCTCCAAATCTGAGGAATGAGGTGAAGAACAATAGAGATGTCTCACCGGGAGAATGGTTTCACTACATGCAGGATTGCACAACACTTTGAAATCTTCCACTGTCCCAGTCCCATGCTGTCTCTGACTTGGTGAACACTTTCATTTAGTCAGGGATCAGTAGCTTGGGAGGGGGGAGAAAGTTCCATTCTCCAGCTGTTGTGTCATTTCCCTTGATAAGTCCTAAATTGACTGAGTTATCCATCTCCAAAGGAGCTTTCCTGTGGTAGACATGCTTTATTATGTGCCCTTTCAGGGACAAAGGCTTCTGTGTCAGTAAACTGCTATAGAGAGGAAGGACAGATTTATTCTCACAGCATCATAAGTATTATCTTCTGAGGGGCTAATGTAAAAGTAAAAAACTGTGCAGCATTACCATCCAAATCCAATGTTGCTGCTCCTTGATTATCAACCTGATGGGAGGCAGAATGAAAAGCTTGAAAGGCTGCTTCTCAGAAGGGCATATTTTAAAGAGGATTTTTAAATCAAATGGGTTCTAAAGGCAGCATTTTTATTGGGTTTGTTCATTTGCTGGGTTATTTTGGATGTTCAGATGGCAGTTTGTGTTGTGTATTGTGGAAAAGGGAAGAAATGGTTGTGAATCTCCTTATTTGGCATTAATTTTAGATAAGTCAGAAAGTCCTGATTTTAAGTTAAAAATCCAAGCAGTTCATACATACATTTAAGCCCTCCCCACAAACTGGAAATAAATATGTTAACATCAGCCTTCTTTTTCTATCTGATAAGAAAGGAAAACAGGGAACATGACTCCTCAACCCAGGGAAGATTTTGCAAGGCTTAACTGGCAGTGAAGAGCCCAGGCACCTGGGCTCACTCTGAGGTGAGCTGGCCATTTTCAGAAGTTCAGTTCTTGAAAAACTTCCATCAGCACCTGCAAACAATGCAGCCTAGTTAGCATTTTAGCAATAAGAACATACTTCATAACACACCTGACAAGGCAAATCTGTTTCTGTTTGGGGAAGAAGAGAAAGGGATAAGTATTAAAAAAATTGAACTTGAACATCTTGACAATGAAAGCTGGTGTAAGCTTATCCCACTGATATGTGATGCGAAGAACTGACATGATTAAAAAAATATCTCAACAGATCCTCAAACAGCCACTGGAGAGGTGGATGGGGTTAACCTGGAAGAAATCCGAGAATTTGCCAAAGCTTTTAAAATCCGGCGCCTGTCCCTTGGCCTGACACAGACTCAAGTTGGCCAAGCCCTAAGCGCCACCGAAGGCCCAGCCTATAGCCAGTCTGCCATCTGCAGGTAACAAGTTACATCATAAACTCTCCTCCCTTTATTCTTAATAATTATTCAGCTTATTGTGAAGAGCATGCTTGTGTTTGAGTCTCCTGTCTTTACAGTTTATTATTTAATCTGAGATTTAAATTGGCCAATAATGTTAACTGACAGATAAAATGTTCTTATTGTGTAAGCCTAGAGTAGCTTTGGTCTTTTATTTTTATCTCCTTCTTTTTTAAACAAGTGAGAAACAATGTTTCTGGCACTGAGACTTAATTCCGTAGATGAGCTGGAGACCCTGCTGATGCTGGATAAGCACCAGCTGACCCTCTTCATACTGTGCCATTTTCTACAGATAGGGTTACTGAACAAATATTTCATGGCTGCATCCCTGCTAAGTTAAAACCTATATTACTGTGGTTAGCACTTCACATAGAGGATGTTAATGATGATTTACCTAGGCAACATAGAAGGGAAAAAAATAGCCTTCCTGCTATCTTGCAAACCAGCAGCTATTCATCTTTTATCACCCAAATGATAAAAGACAAACCCATGCATGCAAAACAGAAGCAGAAATCTGTCCTAATCATAAGAAATCATAATACAGTCTTGACAGAGTTAAAGTAGAAGCAAACGCCTTATATACATGTATGTGTGTTAAAGTAATCCCATGTTTATGCATGAGGTAACAAACACACTTAGGTAACAGCTTTTTCCTCTTGGGCAATGCCTTATAGTCCTTCCCCATCAGTGAAAGCCAAGAAACCAACTCTAAGCTCATTTAAGTGGATTTCGTTCTTGGTGATCCATGAAATGCTCTGTCTTTTTATCTGCTCTTTATACTTTTAATGTATTCCCCATAGAACGGAAGTGTACTTTTCCTGCAGTTAAAGACTAAGGTTATAAATAACATCAGTATGGGGTAGTGAGCTTGCAGCTCACATTTTGCTCAATGATTTTCCATAAAACCCATTGATTGTTGTTAAATACAAAAAGCTCCATAGGATCCTCTCACTTCTATGGTCTCCCCTACTGTTTTTTCTTATAAGATACCTCCCTGTAGAAAATAACCTTTATTCAGTCTATACAAGGATACTACTGCTGGGAAATTTGTTTCAAGACTTGTATATCGTTACGCCAAACATGTACTACAGTATCAACACTAACAAGCAGTGCCAATGATATGAATGCTATTGTTCCCTATTACTAAGGTTTAATTCTTATTTTTTTTTCTTCCTTGTGGTCAGTAGATAAAGAATGCCTAAAACAGGTGGAGTTTTAGCAACTGACAATTTTTTGTAGCCTTAAGTTGCTCTTTAATATACTATACTTTAAAGAGACACGTTGCAGTTTCCTTTGCTTTTGTTTAGTTTTCTGTCTTCTCATTTCATTCATTCTTTCTCACACCTTGAGAAAACACTGGGGATGGTGAGACATTTTACAGAGGGATCCTTAGAGGGACAAATTTCTCAGAACATGAGGAATGGGTGCACAAGCTGGTCCCAAATACTTGCAAGGTTACAGGTTTTTTTAATTTCTTTTGCATGCTCCAGATGGATACCACTTCAGAGTGTAATAACAAGCTATGACTGTGTATTTTTTGTTAAGCACCAAGACAAGCTGTGTTGAAGAACAAGTATGTGTTCCTCAGAAATAGTAGATTTAACTTTTCATTTAAGGGTACCAAAGGAGATTCAGTATGAACTCCAGGTTAATGGAAGAGACAGTAAGGCAAACAAGTCGAACAACCAACTCAAAGACAAAAGTAGAGTCTCCTGCTGGCCTGTGCAGGTCATATTAGCAATATATCACCTTGATATGTTCTGCATGCAAATAACAGTGTTTTCTTTAGCTTGAGACAATACATTTGAAAACACACTCTTCAGCCTGAAATATCACTGGACATGTTGTAGTCAATAACACATTAGGATGTCAGGCACCAGTTACAAATTCTTTGGAGTGTTATTATCTGAAATTATTCCTTGTCTTATTCTTTGTTTGTGAGAAATGCTTTGTTTCTTGCTGGAATATTTTCTGCTGCCTCCACATGCTGAATAGTGACACAAAAAATTACCAACTCCAGTCACTGAGTTTCTTTGCACAAAGGCACTGACTCGGTTGTCTCATCTCCAGAGCATGCTGTGATTAGTAGTGGTGGTGGTGTTTCAGCACTGGCTGGGCTGGAGAGCAGAGCAGCATCATGCAATAATTGTTGCCTTTCTGCAACATTAAATACTGCAACATGCGAAGTGGGGAAATACAAATGGGTGGCACCAGAAGACTTGGGTTAAGATTTTTTAATGTGTAGCAAAAGAGGATGAACTCAGTAAAGGAAAGAAACAATTACCTGTAAGACTTGAAGTGTGAACTCAGTTTTTCTGCTTGTTTTTGAAAGGATTAAAGCTTTGTGTGGCTGCTTTTCCAGATGTTTTATAATACTTGTAAAATCTGGTTTGGCAAAAGACTTTTGATGGCAAAATGATATATAGAAGACCTTATTTACAGGAAATGATATCATTCTGGTACAGTTTGCAGAAATCCCACAATAAACTCAGCTTGGTGCCACAGCATATTAGTAGACTATTATGCTGGGTTTCATCTGGAAAACATGAGTTCTTCTTTGCACATTGTGGGGGCAGTCAAGATAATTGCAAAGTGTCCAGCTGTTTCAGCTGAACACCACCGTGGCTATGGGAATCTTTTTCCAACCTCGAAAAGGGATATAGCATTAACTTACAAACAGTGAAAATTGCTGAAAAAACAGAAAGGAAACCTGATATTCAGAGGCTAGTGACTGCCATTGGCTTGTATTATTAAGGCTGTGGTGCTTGGACAACACAGGATGGGAAGGAAAACAAAAGGATTAATCACAAAGATAAGATTATAAAATGCAATTACCTTTGATATCATTTCCTGTAGTTAGACTTAGTCTTAAGGGTTGTGAAGATCATCAGAAATATGAAAATGTGACTCTTAACCTACATTATTTAGTGTACTTAGAATTTTGTTGTAGTGCTCATTATGTGTTAGCTTAAATATCTAGTTTTATATATATATACTTATAGATATACCTACCTGACAGTTTTCATAATCCATTGTAAATTACCTCTGCCAGTCAATTAGTTAGGCAGGCAGGAAGTCCCACCCTGGCAGAGCATCAGTGTAAGACTCTTCTTTCTCAATTTTCCCTCAGACACACCATCCTGAGAAGCCACTTTTTCCTACCACAGGAAGCCCAAGAGAACACTATAGCTAGCAGTCTGACAGCCAAACTGAACCCTGGCCTTTTGTATCCTGCCAGGTTTGAAAAGCTGGACATCACCCCTAAAAGTGCCCAGAAGATAAAGCCGGTGCTTGAGCGGTGGATGGCTGAGGCTGAGGCCCGCCATCGAGCAGGTATGCAGAACCTTACCGAGTTTATTGGAAGTGAACCATCCAAAAAGCGCAAGAGGCGTACCTCATTCACGCCACAAGCCCTTGAAATCTTGAATGCCCACTTTGAGAAGAACACACATCCCTCTGGGCAAGAAATGACAGAGATTGCAGAGAAACTGAACTATGACCGAGAAGTAGTTAGAGTTTGGTTCTGCAATAAGAGGCAAGCACTGAAGAACACAATTAAACGTTTGAAACAACATGAGCCTGCGACAGCAGTTCCTATGGAGCCTTTAACAGACTCTCTGGAAGAAAATTCCTAAAAACAAAACAAAGCAAAACAAAACAAAACCACACAGAAAACAAAATTGCACCAACAGAAACACAACCATTTGAACTCTGAGAAAATACCTATTCATCACCCTTGTAAGTAAAAGACTGAGAAAACTACAAGAAGGACAGAACAGTTTATAAATGTCCATGGGTTTTCCTATTAAAAAAAAAAATACACAACACTTAGTGTGTGTGTGTGTCGTAGAATTAGTTCCCAAAAAAAAGAAAAAGCCAGTTTTTTTAAATGGACTTAAAGTAAACCAAATAACTGCTTACTTTTTTCTGTATATTATGAAAATATGAACACATTTTAAGGAAAAACAAAACAAACAAAAAAAAAAGAAAAAACTTTTATCTGTTTAAAAGAGAATACAAGCCTGCCACCTGGAGGAGTGATTGTAGCCTTTCAGGTATCAAGTGCTGATTCACTATGAAAACTATTAACCAAAGTCAGAAACATGGCATTGCAAACTAGATTGTTAGTGTACTCTTTTATGAGTGTAAAATTGTGTTATGAATTTTTACATTTGTATTTTGCAAAGAGAAAAACAACAGGATTAGTTTCTCTCATTCTTGTTTGCACCCCTGCAGGTGTGTACAAACAGGTGTTAAAGCCATTCCATAGTGGTCACCTCCTTTTCTTTTAGTCCAGAGTTTTGCAATCTCCTAGTGTTTGGGTGCCAAAAATAACTTCTTTTTATTGAGATTTGTGGGGTTTGGTGTTTCTCTTCTAAGGGTGTGTGTTTTGGTTTGCATTTTTCTTTTTTTATTTTTTGGTTCGCATTTTTCTTTTTTTATTTTTTGGTTCTGATTCTATTTACTGCCTCCTCCCTTCCAGCTCATTCTCCACCCCTTCCCCAAACCCACATAACTCAGTACTGTTTGAAGACTTTTATATTGATACACTGAAATGCAACATAGGACCAAGAAGGATTAGGATTATGTCTGATGGACTGTCAGCCCACACTGAACATTGTGCTTTTTGTCAAATGTGTGGCTTGGGATTTCTCTGTCCTTTGGCTGTGAACCTGCAGAGGTTACCAAAACTCATTTTGTAGTATAAATATAAACTGCACACTTGGTTTGATACTGCATCTATATTATAGTTCCATTTGAAGCAATTTCTCTCCAAAGTCTGCTAGCCAAAGAAATTTTTGAGATTCTGATGAAAACAAATTGACAGGCCAAGAAGCGACAAGGAGGTTTTGATCATTAGATCACTATGGACTGTTTCAATGGTAGTGTTTTGTTTCTTTTGCCTTTTTTTGTGTATCCTGATACTGATGTTTGCCCTGTTAACTTCTTCAGTAGGATGATGTGTTTCTGCTGGTGTTTGCTGTGGCCACTGGCTAGCATAAGCAACTGGGATGTAGAGAAACCCAGTGAATATCCCTTGGTAATGTAAGGTGGGTCACCTGCAATATGTAGGTGAACTGATATTCCTTTAAAGACAGTTTACCTCTGTGGCTTCCTTTTTGATTGGACAAACCACTAAAATACTGTGGTCATTGGACCTACAAGTATACCAATGCTTAGGGCAAAAGAAAAGTGTTTCAGGTTCTTGATGGGGTATGGGCTGACCTGTGAGGGTTGTCTGCAATTTTCATCTTTGGCTGAGTTCTGCTCCAGCCTTTGGGGTTCAACCCTGTTAGGGTGAAAGCTGCGTCTTGATCAGGTCTTCCCAAAAAAAAACATCAGTGATTTGGTTCAACTCACTGTAGAAATGATAAAATTCTGCTGATATAACTCCTGATTGCAGTCCTTGACCTTAGGATGGTTGTACTGGATTCTGGTCTACCCAGGATGTTGGTCTACCCAGGATGTTGAAGGAAGTTCCTGAAGTGCTGGAGTCTTCAAATAACACCTCTTTTATTAACAGAGTTTTCCAGAACTCGAGAACTCCAAAACTTAGTGAAAGAAACAGACTTTCATTGATTTCAATAGGCTTTGAATCTGGCCCTCACTATTTTATTAATGGGATTTGCCTTGTAGAGTGTGGTATTTGCTGCATGGCTGGGGGAGTTTTGAGGTTTCAGAGAACCATTATCAGGGCCAGAAACTGCTTCTAAATGTGAACACTCTCAAAGGTCAGGGTTGGAGAGCACTGACAATCCAGTACTCCAGGATGGGCTCACATCCAGCAAATGCATTTTAGGCTTTAAGCTTCAGCAGGGTATGTTTAAGGATATTTTCAGTATTGCTTTTATGAGGAGGAGAGTGAAGATTGTTATTGACTCTTTTTCAACTGTTGATATATAAATAACTGCTGGGGGAAAATCACCTCAGTAACCACAGGCAAATTGTGAGGGACAAAGAAGATGCTTTACCCGAGCTGAGCATGTAAAGTAAAGAGAGTCTCATAGCTACATCTGCCCCTCTGAGTTTTGGGGGTTTTTTGCCCTCTGTCTCCAAAGATACCTATATCCACAGAAATATCTCTGTTACCTATATCAAACAGCCCCAAATTTGTGGCCACAGTTCAATTTACATAAGGATCAGACCACCAACCAGAAGCCAACAGGGAAGCAGGGAAGAACAGATTGTATTTGGAAGCAGACACTCCTGAAATCCTACCCGTGTCTCCAGCACAGTCCTAATTGCCCAGTCATTAATGCCACATACACAATTACCCATTCAGTCATCCTTAAGACCATAGTCTCCCCTGCTCCATCCCCATCAACCATTCTTTGCCTAAAAATGAAGTTTCCAATTCTCCCAGGGACTGCTCTAAATTCCATGAAGAAAAATCCCTCAAGAAGAAAAGTTAACTAAACAGTGTATGAAAGATACTAAATGTTTAAAAATATGCTGGCAGCAGTTACATAAGCTCTTTTCTGTTCCAAAGTACATATCAGAAGGATAAAACTAGGACAGTGAAAATGTAAAATAAATATAAATTGCCAGCTTGGAAGAAAAAATAATGTTCATCCCACAGTCTTAAAACCATTCATGTGCAGTGATTTTTTTTACAGTTTTCTAATTTTGTATTATGTTTTGTAAATTATTTATAAAGTGTTGTAATGCTTCTTATATTAATTTTTCTATAAACAAATATTTGCAATGAGGCATAAATGGTGCCTGAACAGATTCTTAGGAAGATAAATTATGTGTGAGTCATATATCTTTGGGAGGCCATAAATATTTTGTTTTATTTTGTTACTAGCAACATTTCTCATTTCCATTTGTAAACAATTTTCATGTACTCATAACATTTGAATACCTTTTAATTTTGCATGTGACTAAAGGATAGATTGCTACCAGCAAATGAAACAAAAGTCTCTTCAGTCATATGTGATTGTTTAATGGTTTTCCAATTTATTGATAATTGAATTTTTTTAAATATATGTATAAATATTATTTGAATAATGAACCAAGGGTTCACTTACTGTTCTGATTTTGTCTTTTTATGTTTTTAACTAAAAAGCTATTTTGGACAGTTGAAGAAATCAAATGCATTCAAATGGTTCAAATTTCTTTATGTTACTACTGAAAAAGAAAAAAAAGCCAAAAAAAGAAAAGAAAAGAAATGAAAAGAAAAGAAAAAAAATAAAAAGAGAGAACAAGAAAGCAAAAAGGAGCTAGGAAGGAACAAGTAGAGGCGTATCAAAGAACTCAAGCTATAACCAAAAAGAAATATGTAAAATGCCTTTGCTCGTCTTCTCAATGCTGGACCAAAGCTCAATGTATGTAGGTATATGCACATTGTATAGATATGGCTAAATGTTGCTGACAATCTCGCAATACTAAACTGTTACTATTTAAAAAAATACAAAAATAAAACTGTTCATCAGTGTTTTACCTCAGCACTCTACTTGTACCCAGTTATTGACCAACATTCAAATAAGAAGATAAGAGAGTAAATTGATTTCCATGTCAATGTTTGACTGTAAAATCTGTTTGGAAAACATTTTGTAATGAGCTTTTCGTCACGTGGTTTGCTTGTTTCCAACTCAAGATTATGTGGGGCACATTTGTTTATTTATTGTTAAAAAGTGATATTATTTATTATTATTATTGTTATTATTATTATTATTATTTTTGTCTTATGTGCTATAAACTACAGAATGGTCACCAGGGTCACTTATGAAGCACTGCAAAGAGATCTGTTTTTCCATGCATGGAGCATGCAGCAGGAAAGATGGCAGTACAAAATGGACTGTATTGTGTTGTTAAAAAATATGAATAAATGCAAAAGGAGTCAATATGGTGGACTTGTGACCAAGAAAACAAACTGGATATTTAGAAGCTCCTTACTACTCTGACTTTGAAACCAAAGCTGATTTATCTGCACAGGTTGCTTAACATGAAAAAAAAAAATAAAAAAAACTGACAAAAACTGTACTTAATCTAGAGCAATATCTGTATGGTCAGTAAAGCTGCACTTTGTGTATTTCTTAACAGCTTCAGATCTGTCACTTTTAATTTGTACCATAAAAAATAAAGAATTGTTTGACATGAAAAATAAGCTCCTTTCATGTGTTTGTCTTAAATCTCATGCATTATTTACATTATCCAAGCTCATGTAATTTCACATCAGTTCAATACAAAAATAGTTAAATGCTTGAAAGAAAGGAAGAAAGAAAATCCATTTGCACTGTGAGGCATAACTTTATCTACAAAACTAAACACTGTTTCTGTACCCAGAGTGGGTGCATGCATTGCCGATGTCTTATTTTCTCTACAGGGATGGAGAGTAGAGGATCTACCTCAGGAATATTCTGGAATCACTCAGGTGAGTGTGTGTTATCCCCCAGGCCAAACGGAGCAAAGCACAGATGGACATGAAGGCCAGAAACAGTGTATCTCCCCATGCTTCCACAGTTCCATAACAAAGTCCTGGTAAGTGATAGAAGGGAAGTGTGGTAGCAAGACTGGGTCAGCCATTCAAATGATTTCTCTTGCATTTTTGCAGAGCTCATGAGGTTCATTGCTCATTTCTTTCTGTAATTAGATATTAGGTCACAGAAATGCCTCAAACAAAACGTTTGTAAAGACCTTTTCCTTTGATTTTGTTAGATATTGTTTTACATTTCCAGTATCATGTGTTAAATAATCAAAAACTAAACCAAAATATTTATTTGATTAGAA